CTGGGTTATATGAAGAAAAACGCGGCATCAGCATTGGAGGAAGACTCATTAACAACCTGCAATATGTAGATGGTACAACCTTGCTTGCTAAAAGTGAAGAGGACTTAAAATATTAACTGATGAAGATCAAAGAGCACAGCCTTCGGTATGGATTGCATCGCAATGTAAAGAAAACAAAAATCCTCACCACTCGACCAGTAAACAACATTCTTATCAATGGAGAAAAAACTGAAGTTGTAAAGGACTTCATTCTTCTTGGATCAACTATCAACATTCATGGAAGCAGCAGTCAAGAAATCAAACAATGTATTGCATTAGGCAAATCTGCTGCACAAGACCTTTCTAAAGTGTTGAAGAGCAAAAATGTCAGCTTGAAGACTAAGGTGTGCCTGACCCAAGCCATGGTATTTTCAATAACCTCATATGCATGTGAAAGCTAGACAGTGAATAAGGAAGACTGTAGAAGAATTGATGTTTTTGAGTTATGGTGTTGGGGGAGAATATTGAACTGCCAAAAGAACCAACATATCTGTGCTGGAAGAAGTGCAGCCAGCGTGCTCCTTGGATGCCAGGATGGCCAAACTTCATCTCTCATACTTTGGACATATTGCCAGGAGGGAACAATTGCTGGAGAAGGATATCATGTTTGGTAGGGTGGAGGGTCAGAGAAAAAGAGGAAGACCCCCAGATCTAGACAGCTGAACCAAGTGGCTGCAGCAGGCAACAGGCTTAGCAGTGTGCATGGGTTCAGGACCGAGGGGTGGATGGTGATCGTAGCCTATCAACCGTGGTTGATAGCATAGAGGTCTTGTTCTGGTCAGTAGTCTTGGGTTCCAGGTTTCTGTACCAGGAGGAGGGGAGTGTTCCAGGGAGCCAGACTGGCATGGGGTCAGGATCCCAGTCTTTATTAATCTTTGCAGATGCTTTTGGATGCTCTCCTGAGCTGCCTGGGGATTGGGTCTTGTTTGACCTGGACAGATGCAGCTCTGGGGATCAGCTTTACATACACCGGTGGGTAGTTGACAGCCAGTCCAGGGGGATTGTCTTCTGCCCAGACTCTGGGCCAGTGGGCAAACAAGGCGGAGCTGCAGTTGTCCGATCCCTGAGGTTGAAACATTCTCCATTCTTCTTCTTGGGGGGACTGTCAGGGTTAATAGAAGGGTCTTGGGTGGGACTGACAGCTAAAGCTGCCCAGCTTCAGTGAAAGAGATTTTTGCCTGCAGTCTGCTGAGGAGATCTCACCCAAGTAATGGCATGGGGCAGTCTGGTAGGTAGAGGAATTGGTGTTTGACCTCGTGGCCTTTGATCACGCACTGATGAGGCTGACAAAAAGCAAGTCACTGTTCCAGTAGCCCCATGATGTTGACTTGTCTCCAAGTCCAGGGTGCAATGGGTTGTGTAACCACTGAGTGCTTGGGCCCCGGTGTCTACCAGAAAGTCTATCTTTTCATTCCCACTTTGATCCAGACCATGGGCTCTCAGGAGCTTGATGAGCCTGGTCTGTCCTAGTCATCAACGAGGTCTCCCTCTGCTATGTTGAAAACTCAGATTCCACTGGTCTTGGAGGGTCGGGCTTTTGGCACCTCTTTTGGGGGCATTCGTCCTTCCAGTGACCTTTTTCTTTACGGTAGGCACATTGGTCCTGGTCTAGGCAGGGCCGGTCTCTTCATTGCCCAGTCGGTTCTCTTGCTTTTCTTCCTCTAGGCGGGCACAGGGAGGCTTGGATTATGGACTCAGCTATTAAATCGGCCTCTTTTTCATCTTTCAGTTGGCCTCTCACTTCACCTCTTGGTGACTGTTGATGAACAATGTTAGCATTCTCAAGCAGTTGGGTGGAATTCATACCTGTAAACCTTTCCAGATTTTGGAGTTTTCTGCAGATATCACCTGTACTCTGGCTCACAAACGCTTAATTGACCATTGTCTGGTTGTCTTGTGCCTCAGGGTCAAAAGGGGTGTACAGCCGGTAGGCCTCACACAGTCTCTCATAAAAAGCGCAGGGACTGTCTTCCGCTTTCTGGAAGACCATGGCTACTTTGCTAATATTTGTAGCCTTCTGGCCTCTGCTTTTTAACTCCTAGAGGAGGGCTTCCCAGTATGCTTCTAAGTTTTGGAGCCTCTTTCTTTCATTGAGGTCCCATTTAGGTTCCTGGTCTGGAAGTCATCTTTGGGCACAGGCCTGAACATCCATTACCACCTCCGGGGCATTTTCCTCCACCCAACAGTGTGCTGCTTGAAAAACCCTTCTCCTTTCTTCTGTATTAAACAAGGTCAGGAGGAATTGATAGCAGTCGGCCCAGGTGAGGTGAGGTTATATGCCTGGAAGATGCACTGCATGAGGTAGATGAGCACCTGGGGCTTTTCAATGTTAGATGGAGTTCCAGTTCAGTGGGAAAGTTGATATAAGAGAAAGTGTACTGCCTCTCGCACCTGGCCCTTGGTGTCTACAAATGTGGGCGCCCTCATCTCTCGTGGGGGTATCTGCATGGCTGATGTGAGCAATGGGGTATATGGACTGAGAACCAGGGGTCCCAGACATGAATTTGCAGGCGTCTGAGGGATTGGACTGGTAGTGGTATCTGGCGAGGCCACAGGGGTAGTTGGAGTAGTGTGAGATCGCCCTGGGGCTCCCAGAGACAGGTGGTAGGGCAGAATACACTGGGGCATTGGAGGAGGCAAAGGCTCCTCATGGGGTTCAAGCAGAATGGACGGCTATGTGGGCTCCGGCAGAGGGGAAAGCGGAGGCTGCTGCAGGGTCAAATGGGCTGCAAGTCTGTGAGACAATGATTCGTCTGATTGGCCCTCTCAACCAAGGGGGCGGGTGAGTCACCATTTGGAGCCAGGTATCAATGTATAGAACACACACACACACACACACAGTATAGAAAAGGAGCTCTGGTAGCGTAGTGGTTACGAATCGGGCTGCGAACCTTAAGGTCAGCAGTTCGAAACTACCAGCCGCTCCACGGGAGAAAGATAAGGCTTTCTACTCCCGTAAAGATTTACACCCTTGGAAACCCTGTACAGGGTCGCTATGGGTCGGAACCGACTCGACGGCACTTCACAACAACAACAATCAATGTATAGAAATTGGTCCAGGTGACCTGGCTCTCCAGTCACTACTCGCCACACACGTTGCGTGGTGGGGCTGTATAAAGTTCCCTCAGAAGGCCAGTCCACCCCAAACGTTGGCCAATCTATTTCACAGAGGGTTCTCAGCTTTCCAGGTTGGAGTTTCACTGCATAATCTTGAATGTATCCTTTTTAAAAGTTCTTTAACATAACCTTTAGGGGAGTTTCCTTTCCCTGAGTGCCTTCCACGGCAGCGCTTATTCAACAGACACTTCGAGTCTAGATCTTGTCATTCCTCTTGTGAGGATTTTCAAGTGCCTTTTAGCTTTCCTGAGTCATATCACCCCCGACCCCGAACCCACTCCGGGCTATCTCCATGAGCCCTATGAGTTTCGCCACCGCAGATTCAAGACTCACACTTGCCCTAGCGTCAGGGAGTTCCTAGGACTCCAGTCTGCTAGACACAATCACACACATCAGTCACACAGTCACACAAAACCTCCCTTCTCTATGCAGGCTGAAGGTTTCCGGATGACAGCCAGCTAGCTGGTCATTGATCAGGTCTGACTACCTGTGGGCCCACAATTTTACTGCGGTTCAGAAGACCAGGATCAGCCATTCTTTACCCGCTTGGTTCCCTCAGGAATGGGGTCCCCGGCTGGTTTCCGCCCCAGGAGAGGATCCACAAAGCTAGAAATCCTGCTGGCTCGCTCAGCAGACAGTCTTCCCGGACCAGGGCCCGCCTCAGCACCGGCTGCTCCCAGGGCAGCAAGAGCTCCATGGCTTGTCCTTCCAGCACACAGAAGAGAAGATTCCTGGTCAATGCACCACAAATGTTACCTGAGTCGCTCTGAAGGAGTTGCCAACGCCATGCGGGTTATAACAAAGGAAGGACTTCACTGTGCCCACTCGAGGTTCAGAGGATTCTTATCCAGAGACTGAGCTCCGTCTCCCCCTTCCGGGAACATTTTATAGGGAATGGGAGCAGATTCACTGGGCTGTCTGGGATTGGTTGGTTTGAAGTAGGCAAGTGGGAGCCGGCAGGCAGGCGGGCGGGGGAGTGAGCAGGCAAGCGGGCGACTATAGAAGCAGAAGCGTTAGTTTTTCTGGATCTTTGTTCTCTGTGATCTGGCTGTCTCAAAAGAAGCCAACTTTAAGGCGTGCTTACTAGGATAATTTGATCAGAAAGAATAATGATCGTAATGAGCTGAAATGCTAGATTTGTGAGGAGTGGCCTCTGGCATTGACCCTCAGTGAGCAGCTAAAAGCTTGCGGACCAGGAGTCAAAAATGTAGGGAAAGCAAGGCTTTGTGTGTCTGCGGCCCTGTCTTCTCCTCCCCATCCCAAACCCTGATTTCCTCGGTTTTCTTTTCCCTTCTCTGCCTCCCCGTTTCCTCTTCGCACCGCAGCCAAAGCCTCTTTCCTTTGCTTCCTTTCCCACCTCCCACTCACTCGCTTCTCCCCCTCCAGGGCCAGGGCCTAGCTGCTTTCGCGTGTCTCCTCAACAAGGCCTCCCCTTAAAATCGACTTAGCAGTCCAGCGCATTTACCCATAGCGCCAAACTAGGACTTCTCTCGTATTTGTTGTTGTTATGTGCCGTCGTGGAGTCGATTCCGACTCACAGGGTTTCCGAGGTTGTAAATCTTTACGGGAGCAGACCGCCTCATTTTTCTCCTGGTAGTTTCGAACTGCTGACCTTGAGACTCGCAACCCGATTCGTAACCACTACGCTACCAGAGCTTCCTTTAGATACGCGCATCTCTTTTCTTCGCCTCACTACGCCTCTCCCACACCTTGCCCCGCCCTCATCCCCCAGGTCGCCCCGCCCCTTTTCCCAGCGCCCCTCTGCGGTTACTATAGCTACGGGGCAACCAGAAAGTAATCTTCCACAGCTAGTGCTTAGCTTGCCGGCGGGTGAAGGCGGCACCATGAGCCACGTAGTGACCATCGAGGAGCCCCAGAAGCCGCAGGTGTCTCAAACCCGGTGGGGCATAAAGTCGGAGCTAAGGAGCTACATCCCCTCTAGTCGAGCGTACGACTTTTTGTACGGTAAGGGCAGTCCACACCTCCCTCCTGAGCCGTCTGTTTTTCTGAGCGCGGTAGGGTTCGAGGGTGAGATGGAAGCGGACAGGTGTGTGACGGCTAGTGAAGGTCCAGCCTCTGGACAGGTCCCTTGCCAGAGGCTACCCTTTGTTGGGCAGGGGCATTTTGGAGCCCTCCAGATAGCTGCTGTGTCCAGGACGCGTCAGAAGCCACCGGTTTGCTCTGAGTCTGCTCACTCTTCACGGCTATCTTCCTGAACCCTATTCAGGCCTTTTGATATTTGGAAAAGTATGGCATGATCTACTTTACTCAACACCTCTGCTTTCATTCTGCATTAAATGCCCAACAAGAATAGTTTTCTCTCTCCCATTTCTGGGTAATTCCATATTTGAATTCTACATAAACAAGTGCCCATTTATCTCACCTTTGTTTGTGTTCTGTAAACTGATTAGTATTCATCAAAGCTTGTATTTCAATTAGTTTCACTAGTTTCTTTGGGGCCAATAAAATCCTACTCCTCCCACCCCCATTCTATAATGATAGTTCTCAAATGACAGTGAAAGAAATTTCAGTAATTTTCTAATTTAATTTTGCACTATATGCCTTATAGTGGTTGTGGTGGTGTGCCATGGTTCCCACTCATAGTGACCCTGTGCAGGGTTTCTGAGGCTGTAAATCTTTACAGGAGCAGAAAGCCTCATCTTTCTCCCCTGGAACAGCTGGTAGTTTCGAACTGCTGACCCTGAGGTTAGCAGCCTGATTCATAATGGGTACCGCATTAAAAATTGATATCTGACACAACAGAACATTTGCGGAATATAATACTGTAATGACAGCAATGAGGTTGATTGTTACAGACATTACATTCTTTGAGTATTAAATGGTGGCATCCTAATTATTTATATATAACATTGATCCAGTGTCATGGGCTAATATGATGAAAATAGAGAACAGTGACTGAGAATATATCTCATTCAATATTCAGAGCCAAAGGGTTAGCTTTTCTAAACAATTTTATGCAAATAAATTTTTTTCATATTTAAATTTGATAATATTTAAGCTCTGCCATTTTCCCAAAGTGGACAAGTTGCTGAAGACCATCACTATACAGCATACTACAACATAAGGACTCTTAGCCTCACTAGTTCTATTGCACTTTCAGATGATACCCAACAGTCCTAGTGAGGCTCCATTCACATCACTGCCATCACCAAAGCCAAAAAAGCCTTTGCATACCTGCCTATCGTCCTCACTGTCTCTGCCATCCAGTTCAATCCCAGTTTATTTTAATGCCTTGTTGTCAATTTATATTCTCTCTTTTAGACCTGAAGCTCTTTGAGTTCTGTAATATGTTCCTGTTCTATACATTTTTGTAGCCTCTTCAGCACCTATTGTGGTATATAGACTATGTGCCTAATAAATGTTTATTAAATTATAGGATTTGCTTTTACAAAAATTATAATTAGTTAAACATGCTTTTTTCCAATTGTGCCCTCAGAATTCCAGGCTCTTTTGCTTGAACAATGCATTACTTTCACCCATCTGGCATTCCTTCGGTGATTCTCAGTGCCACCTTTGGATGGGAATCTATAGTGTATGCATTTCCTGGCATAGGCTCTGTACACCAATTGCTTAAACATTCTAGCCAGTTACTTTCTTTATTCCCTGATGAAATGTAGTAAAGCCCTATAAACACATCTCCCCCTGTTTGTTTTAAAGATAATTTGAAGTTGGAATAAGATCTTCAGTAAAAAAAAAATTTATTAAGCTCCTTATTTCTTTTATCCCTAAATGTTCCTTTTTCAAAGAGATTGCTAAATGTTTCCATGTCCTTTTCAAGGAATGGAAATACACTCAAAATGAAAAATTGGTTGGCAAGATAAAAACAGGTAGTCTAATAACTATTCATGAAGAAGAAGCAAAGTATAGCCTGGACAAACTAGAACCAGAACGGTGAACTAAGTATGCATGCAGATGATACAACCTTGCTTGCTGAAAGTGAAGAGGACTTAAAACATTAATTGATGAAGATCAAAGAACACAGCCTTCGGTATAGATTGCATCTCAATGTAAAGAAAACAAAAATCCTCACCACTGGACCAATAAACAACATTCTTATCAACGGAGAAAAGATTGAAGTTGTCAAAGACTTCATTCTTCTTGGATCAACTATCAACACTCACAGAAGCAGCAGTCAAGAAATCAAACGACATATTGCATTAGGCAAATCTGCTGCATTGGGACCTTTTTAAAGTGTTGAAGAGCAAAAATTTCAACTTGAGGACTAAGGTTTGCTTGACCCAAGCCATGGTATTTTCAATAGCCTCATATGCATGCAAAAGCTGGACGTTAAATAAGGAAGACCCTAGAAGAATTGATGCATTTGAATTATGATGTTGGAGGAGAATATTGACAGTGCCATGGGCTGCCCAAAGAACCAACAGATCCATGTTGGAAGACGTGCAGCCAGAGTGCTCCTTGGAGGCCAAGATGGCCAAACTTCGTCTCTCATACTTCGGACATATTGTCAGGAGGGATCAGTTGCTGGAGAAGGATATCATGTTTGGTAAGGTGGAGGGTCAGAGAAAAAGAGGAAGACCCCCAACGAGATGGACTGGGCAGGTGACAGCATCGATGGACTCAAGTGTGGTAACAATAGTGAGGTTGGCCCAGGATCGGGCAGTGTTTCATTCTGCTGTGAGTAAGGTTGCTATAGGTCGGTACCGACTCAGTGGTACTAAACAACAACAACAACTGCAAAATACCTCTTTAAAGTTTCAAGAACCAAGATGTCAGTTTAAGGACTAAGGTGCACCTGACCCAGGCTATGGTGTTTTCAATAGCCTCATGTGCATATGAAAGTTGAAGAATGAATAAGGAAGACTATAGAAAAATTGATGTGTTTAAGTTAAGGTGTTCGAGGAGAATATTAAAAGTACCACGGACTATCAAAAAAACCAACAAATCTGAACTAGAAGAAGTTTGCTCCTTTGAAACCAGGGTGGTGAGACTTAGGCTCTCATACTTCAGACATGTTTTCAGAAGTGACCAGTCTTTGGAGAAGGACATCATGTTTTTTAAAGTGGAGGGTCAGCAAAAAAAAAAGAGGAAGACCCCCAATGAGATATGCTGACACAGTGACAGAAGCAATTAGCTCAAGAATCACAACAATTGTAAGGATGGTGCACGACCAAGCAGTGTATTGTTCTGTTGTGCATAGGGTCTCTTTGAGTTGGGATCAACTCAACAGCACCTAACAACCAAAGTAATGACTAGAATGAGTCTTTGTGTGGTGCTGTAGGATAAACAGTGGACTGTTAACCACAAGGTCAGTGGTTCAAACACATCAGCCACTCCTTGAAATCCCAATAAAAAAAGGTCGTTATAAGTCAGAACTGACTCAACAACACTTAACAGAAACAATAGCTAGTTGTTATTGTTGGTTGGTTGGTTATGTGCCGTGGAGTTGGTTCTGACTCATAGCGACCCTGTACAGCGTTTCTGAGGCTGTAAATCTTTACGGGAGCATGAAGCCTCATCTTTCTCTCTCAGAACAGCTGGTAGTTTTGAACTGCTGACCTTGCAGTTTGCAGCCCGATTCGTAATCACTACACTACCAGAGCTCCTTAGTTGTTATTGTTAGGTGCCATCAAGTTGGGTTCGACTCATAGCATCCCTATACACAACAGAAGGAAACACTGCATGGTCCTGCGCCATGCTCATAATTGTTACATTTGAGCCCATTGCTGCTGCCTCTAGCTAGAAGAGATATTAACTCATTCACATCACTGCATTGACCTTCCTTACAGACGTATGGCTATTATCTTATCCCTGATGGTGTTGTACTTCAGGATATATCTTGAAATGTTCTTTTTGACTATGAATGCAATGCCATTCCTGCTCAATTTGTCATTCCCAGAATAGTAGACCATGTTTGTACTATTGAAAATGGCCAATACTAGTCCATTTCAGCTCACAAATACCTAGGATGTCTATCTTTATGCATCCCATTCCATTTTTGATAACTTTCATTTTTCTAAATTCATGCTTGATGTATTCCACATTTCAGTGATTAATGGATGTTTGCAGCTGTTTCTTCTCATTTTGAGTCATGCCACATCATAGAGAGAAGGTCCCCAAAACTTTACTTCATCCACATCATTAAGTTCACCTCTGAGGAGGCAGCTCTTCCTCAGTTATATTTCGAGTGCCTTCCAACCTGAGAGGCTCATCTTTCTGCACTATATCAGATAATGCACCACTGCTATTCATGATATTTTCAGAAGTAGACCACCAGGTCATCCTAGTCTGTCTTTGTCTGGAAGCTCTACTCACTTCTATCCACTTTGGGTAACCCTGCTAGTATTTGAAATAGTGGTGGTATAGCTTCCAGCATTTACAGCAAGTAAACCACCATAGTGTGATAAACTGATAGATGAGTGGGGGTTAGAATGATGTTTTCTAATCACATGTACCAATTCTGAGGTGACATATAGCTTCTCTGTGCACTGAATAAAGGACATAGTATGAAAACATCGTTTCTCTACCTTGCACATGCTCCTTATTCATGGACTATTTCCTGGGCTCCTCGGGTCCCGAAGGAGATATGTTTATAGGAGAGAAAAGAGCATGTCTTGGGTATGGTGCTTGAGAACATTGTTAGATCTTCTTTTATATTCTCTACTTCATAAACTTACTTTTGAATAAACAGAAAAGAAATGCATTCAACAGACTCCCTGGTGGTAGAGTAACAGGGACCATGAGCTGCTGCAGGGTTAGGCAATAGCTAAACTTTCTAATTTGTTTTCCAGTTAAGAAATTACATGGCTTTGCCATTACTCCTAGTAGGTGTGTTCTATTTCTTACTGCTTTATTGATTGTTTTGCAGATCCACTGTTTACTGTGTCAAGTGAGAAAGACCATGCTCAGGCACATATTCAGGCCACGCTGATTCGAAACAAATTGGTAAGTCTAACTCCTCTAAGCAGCTTAATGAACTTCAACCACCTACTTTGGCTAACTGCATTGATGAGAATGAATAATCTCTTAAGTCTTCCCTGGATTTTTTTTTTTGTGTGTGTGTGTGTGCCATGACAACTAAAGAGCAAAATATTTTGATACTTGTGGCCCAGTGTGAGAATAAATTAACTACTCCGGAATAATAGACTCACTATAGGCTAATTTTTTTTTCAATTGGAAAAGAAAAGAATTCAAGTAATACAAACACATACACAGTGTGAAGTAAATTTCTTCTTTCAGACCCCAGCTTCTCACCTCCTCCTCAGCAGCAGCCATTATCATCAGTTTCTGCATATCCTGCTAGAAACCAGTAGCCCCTCCTATACACCTGGTGGCACAATGGTGCAGTGCTTGGCTGCTAACTGAGAAGCACTGAACTTCTGACTGCAAGGTTGGCATTTCAAACTCTTAGAAACCCTGTATAGGGTCACTATGAGTCAGAACAAACTCAGTGGCACTTAACAACAGCAACAACTGAAAGGTCAGAAGTTGGAATCCACAAGCTCCTTCATGAGAAAGAAGTCAAAGGAGCTGCTCCCATAAAGACTGTGGTATTGTTAGGTGTGGTCAAGATGGTTCCAACTCATAACAATACTATACACAGCAGAAAGAAACCTTCCGGGTTCCTGCGCTATCTTCACAATTATTGTTATGTTTGAGTCCTTTGTTGCTATGACTGTGTCAATCCGTGTGTTGAGGGTCTCCCTCTTTTTTTACTGACCTGCCCACTGCACCAAGCATGATATAGTTCTCCAGGGACTGGTCTCTGCTAATAACATGTTCAAAGTATGAGAGACCAAGTCTGGACATCCTGGCTTATAAGTAGCCTTCTGACTGCATTTCTTCCAACTTAGATTTGTTTGTTCTTCCGGCAGTCCATGGTTTTCTCAATATCCTTCTCCAACACCGTAACTCAAATGCATCAATTCTTCTATGGTCTTCCTTATTCACTGTCCAGCTTTCACATGTGTATGAGGCTATCGAAAATATCAGTGCCTCCTGACCAATGTCTACTGGGCAAATCAGGAATTAACTCTGCCTTCCAGGGGGCAGTTGTGCTCTGTCGTAGAGAGGGTCACTATGAGTTGCAGTCAACTTGGTATCACACAATAGCACACTCCGTTGATAAGAATGTTGTTTATTGGTCCAGTGGTGAGGATTTTTGTTTTCTTGACATTGAGATGTAATCCATACCGAAGGCTGTGCTCTTTGATCTTCATCAGTAAATGTTTTAAGTCCTCTTCACTTTCAGCAAGCAAGGTTGTATCATCTGCATATCGCAGGTTGTTAACAAGTCTTCCTCCAATCCTGATGCCACGTTTTTCTTCGTAGAACCCAGCTTCTCGGATTATTTGCTCAGCATACAGGTTGAATAAGTATGGTGAAAGAACACAACCTTATCGCACACCTTTACCAATTTAAAAACATTCAGTGTTCCCATGCTCTGTTCGAACAACTGCTTCTTGGTCCAGGTACAGATTTCTCATGAGCACAATTAAGTGTTCTGGAATACTCATACTTCGCAATGCTGTCCATAGCTTGTCATGATCCACACAATCAAAAACCTTTGCATAGTCAATAAAGCACAGGTAAACATCGTTCTGATATTCTCTGCTTTCAGCCAAGATCCATCGGACATCAGCAATGATATCTCTCGTTCCCTGGCCTCTTCTGAATCTGGCTTGAACCTCTGGAAGTTCTCTGTCAATGTATGATTGTAGCCATTTCTGTATTGCCTTTAGCAAAAGTTTACTCGCTTGAGATATCAAAGAGATTTTCCGATGATTTCTGCTTTCCATTGGGTCACCTCTCTTTAGAATGGGCACAAATATGGATCTCTTCCAATCAGTTGGTCAGATAGTTGTCTTCCAAATTTCTTAGCATAGATGAGTGAGTGCCTCCTGTGCCACCTCACTTTCTTGAAAGATTTCAGTTTTTATTCCATCAATTACTTTGAAGGAATTTGCCAATTCCTTCAATGCACATTGGACTTCCTCCCTGAGTATCATTGGCTCTTGATCATATACTACCTCTTGAAATGGTTGAACATTAACCATTTCCTTTTGGCACAGTGACTCTGTGTATTCCTTCCTTCTTTTCTTGATGCTTTCTGCATCATTCAAGAATTTGCCCAGAGAATCTTTCAATAATGAAAGTCGAGGCTTGAATTTTTTCTTCAGTTTCCCTAGCTTGAGAAATGCTGAGCGTGTTCTTCCTTTTTGGTTTTCTGATTCCAAATCTTTGCACATTTTATTATAATATTTGGCTGTATCTTCTCAAGCTGATCTTTGAAATTTCCTGTTCAGCTCTTTTACCTCCTTATTTCTTCCATTTACTTTAGCATCTCTACACTGGAGAGCAAGTTTCAGTGTGTCTTCTGACATCCATTTTGACATTTTCCTTCTTTCTTGTATCCTTAATGACTTTTTGCTCTCTTCACGTATGATGTTCTTGATGTCATCCCACAACTCTTCTGGTCTCTTCTTTTGTCCTTAGTGTTAAATGTATCAAATCTGTTCTTCAGATGATCTCTAAATTCAGGTGGAGTATATTCAAAGCCATATTTTGGCTCTCGTGGACTTGTTTTCATCTTCTTCAGTTTCAGTTTGAATTTGCATATGAGTAATTGATGTAATATGAGTAATAATACACTACGTATACTTTTTTTTTTTTAAGTTTTCATTGTGAATTCAGTGATAGTTTTCATGGGAGAACATTGATTTTACACTCATCATTTCATTGCAATGATTACATCATTCAACAGTATTTGCTTCCATTCCGTCTGGGTTTTTTATAGGGGTGGAGGTGGGGATGTACACAAAAGTACTCAGGAATATATATATAATCATTTAAACAACCAAAGGGCACATTCTGCAAGCCTGCCTCCTGGCTGCAAGCACACAGCCTTTCTCTTTCTATGAGTCTAGTACATGTACTTTTTAATATCATTTTGTTTTCTTTTAAGTTTACCATATAAGTAAAATGCTTTAGAAAATCTAATGGTATAATTTTGTCCTTTTCCTCCCTGCCTCCCTGTCGTAACATTAGAAAAAAGTTCCCAGGTTTAGAGCTATGTTCAGTAACCTGGTCCATTATCCAAGATATTCTCTGAGTTTGGACACATCAGACCCCGTCCCACCTTTCATCAGTCGGGAATGGAAAGGATATGAAGAGCAACGCAAAGAAGCTGTCCGGCATCTTGCAGTGTAAGTGTCAAGTGACTGCTAAGAATGCGTTTTTCTTTTTAAACTTTTAAATAAGTTTATTCTGCGTGATTTAAAGCTGCATAGTTATAATGTTATACTTAAGCCTTTGGGCCCCAAATTCTTTCTGTCTCAATCCATTTGATCAAAAAGAACCTGATTCAGGAAGAATAGTTATAGGTTTACTGGTTAATAGATGTTCTCAGAATGCCAGAGTGAATATACCTACTCCTTACTTATTATCTACTTCATTATCCAACATTCTGAATTTAACACAAAAGTAAAGAAACTGCTACCTGGCTCTTTTTTCATATTAGCAAGGCACTGGCATACCTGCAAGAGCTTCAGAACATCCCCTCCCATGGCAGCCTCTAGGAAGCTGTCCCAAGCTACTCTGCATGTCTTCTGCTGGTGGAGAAGTAATGTCCAGCTGCCAGGTAGGCTGGCCTTCTCTGTGGCTACAGACTCTGGACAGATGGGCAGACGTGCAAGCAGCACAGAGATAGTGGGTGTCTGTTCTGAGTTTTCAGCTCCTATGTGGCCTAAGGCCCTACAGTTCAAAACAGCTGTGGGAAGGTAGGAAAGAAAGAAGACTTGGAGAGAGTGTTTGGAAGAAATTTGTGGAAATTTAATGACATCCCAAAGTGAGCCAACCTAGGCCTGAAATCTCTACTTCTGCAGGGCAGGGTGCTCGGCCAGGCTTGCAGAGGTGGGAGTGGAGCTGTGGAGGTGTCCCCTCAAGGGAAGCTCTGACCCAGAACAGGAGGAAAGTGAAGTGGGTAACACGTGAGCTCTCTAGTCACACAGCCTGCCTTTACCTAGCTTAGTCTCCTCCAAACCTCCTTCTCCACAGGAATAATCCATAAGTGTACTCATCACATTGAGGAGCACATCAGTGAGTCTTTATTGTCGTTGTTAAGTGCCATTGAGTCACTTCTGACTCATAGCAACCCTGTATAGAGTTTCCAAGGAGCGGCTGCTGGATTTGAACCACCAACCTTGTGGTTAGCTGTACCATATTGATCTACAGTGCCATAACAGGACTCCCATTGAATCTTAGTTGCTATTATTTCAGTGATTATATTTTCTAAATAAATAACCTAAGCATATGGATGATTTGAAAACAGAAAAACAAAATCTTCCATTTTTGCATAATGCTGAGTTTCATATAATAACCTGAACTTTGGAACTTAACTCTATGTATCCATGAAATGGCAGTTTGCCACCATGAGATGAGCCTTAGACAGGTAGTGGGTTCCGCCAGCTGTTTTCAGGAAGGAAAAGAAGGTTTTCTGCTCCCATTAAAGATGTACAATCTTGGAAATGCTAAATAGGATTGCTATTACTTGGAATTTATGTTATGGCAATGGTTTTGGTTTTTTTGGTTTGCCACCATGAATAAGTGAGTTTCTTGTTCATATGAACCATCTTAGAAATTTGAAATGCACTTTTCTGCTTTGTTGTTGTTGTTAGGTGCCATCGAATTGGTTCCAATTCATAGAGACACTATGCACAACAGAACAAAACACTGCCCGGTCCTGCACCATCCTCACAATTGTTTTATGTTTGAGAATGTTGCTGCTGCCACTGTGTCAGTCCATCTTGTTGGGGATCTCCCTCTTTTTTGCTGATGCTCTACTTTACCAATCATTATATCCTGCTCTGGGACTGGTCCCTCCTGATAACATGTCCGAAGTATGAGACATGAATTCTAAAGAGCATTCTGGTTGTACTTCTTCCAACACAGATTTGTTTGTTCTTCTAGTAGTCCATAGTATTTTAGTATTCTTCTCCAACACCCTAACTCAAATCACCAATTCTTCTACAGTCTTCCTTAGTCATTGTCCAACCTTCACATGTATCTGAGGCTATTGAAAATACCTTTGCTTGAGTTAGGCACACCTTAGTCCTCAAACTGATATCTTTGCTCTTGAGTGCTTTAAAGAGGTATTGTGCAGCAAATTTGCATAATGCAATACATCATTTGTTTTCTTGCCTGCTACTTTCATGAGTGTTGATGGGAGATCCAGGAAAAATGAAGTCTTTGATAACTTCAGTCTTTTTTCCATTTATCATGATGTCATTTATTAGACTAGTTGTGAGGTTATTTGTTTTCTTTGCATTGAGGTGAAATCCATACTGAAGACTGTGGTGTTAATCTTCATCAGTAAATATTTTAAGTCCTCTTCATTTACAGAAAGCAAGGTTGTATCATCTGCATATTGCAGGATGTTAATGAGTCTTTCTCCAATTCTGATGCCATGTTCTTCTTCATATAATCCAGCTTCTTGAATTATTTGCTAAATTCACAGGTTGAATAAGCACGGTGAAAGGATACAACTCTGGCTCACACCTTTCTTGATTTTAAACAATTCAGTATCCCCATGTTCTGCTTAACCAACTACCTCTTGGTATATATACAGGTTCCTTATGACCACAATAAATTGTTCTAGAATACCCATTCTTTGCAATTTTATCCGTAGTTTGTCATTATCTACACAGTCAAATGTATTTGCGTAGTCAGTAAAACACGAGTAAACATCTTTCTTGTATTCTCTGCTTTTACCCAAGTTCCATCTGATGTTAGCAATGATACTAATAATTCTGCATCCTCTTCTGAATCCAGCCTGAATTTCTGGAAGTTGTCCATCGATGTACTATTGCAACCATTTTTTAAATTATCTTCAGCAAAATTTTACTTGCATAATTAATGGTATTGTTAGAGGTTTTGCACATTATGTTGGATACCTCTCTTTGGAATGGGCGCAAATATGGATCTTTTCCAATTAGTTGGTCAGGTAGTTGTCTTACAAATTTCTTGGCATAGATGAGTTAGTGCTTCAGTGCTGCATCAGTTTGTTGAAAATTTCAATTTGTCTTTTGTCAATTCCTGGAACTTTGTTTTTCACTAATTCCTTCAATGCAGCTTAGCCTTCTTCCTTCAGTACCATCATTCTTTTATTTTTACACAAGTATTGTTGCTTTATTGTAACAACAATAATAGTCTTACAGGGAATTTAGCAAAGATTGTTTTGTGCCTTTTAATGTCTCACTTGTTGATATTTTATTAATTTTTGTTGTTGTTTTTTTTTGCTATGAGATTATGGCTTGTTTTTGTTTTCGTTTTGAATTAGGTGATAGTTTACATGGAAGAACATCAGGTTTACATTCATCCTATCGTTTTTTGTCTCATTGCAATGATTACAATTCCCTCCGTGTATCAATATTCAACAACATTTGCTTCTATTCCCTCTGTTTTTGTTTTTGTTTTTAGATATGCACCGAAACACTCAGGTCTATACCACCATTTAAACAACCAAAGGGCATACCCCACAAGCTGCCCCGCAGACATCAGCACACAGCCCATCTCCCTCTCTGACTTCAGAGTCCCCAGCCACTCCACGTCATTATCTCTGCTTCTATCTCTGGTGTCACTGCTTCTCTGGATAGGGTATCACACTCTGTTCTTCTTCCTTGATGGTCCCAGGGTCCTCTGCTCCTGGACTGCAAGATCAACCACTCCCCTCCTTTTGTTACAAAATGTCTACCTTTACATTTGCAACACTCACAATCAGTCCTGATAGCAATTATTCACTATTGAACCACAAGAGCCTTATCCTCATCTCCTTTCACCAGTCAGTCCCATCCAGACAGGTTGGAAAACACTCAGTGGAGATTCTACCTTCCCCGTACCTTCTGAAGCTAGGCTTCTTCTTGAAAGTTGGTAAGCCAGTGGCTTCGTGCCTTTTCAGTCCCCACCCCACTCATTTTGGGTAGCCAATGTCAACCATCCCTGTCAACCCGGTGTACTGAGAGGGTGGGAATGATCCGTGGATTACTCTTTTTTTCCTCTTCTTTCATCCTTTAGTTGAATTCTGATCATTCAGCCATTGGAGCCAGGTCAAATGGGTGCTATCTCCAAGTATGGGTGTTCTTGTGCATATCCCCTCACTTCATACTAGCTGATCACTTCAATCTCTGCTCTAGTCATCTGTGGCCATGTCCCTGTCTCTGGATCCAGGAGTCCCCATGTCTCACCATACTACTGGCCAACCAGGTCTCAATCCAGGTGGACAGGAGTCTGTTGGACATGGTCAGACTTAGCTCACAACTTCATTGCTGTTTTTCCCCCACTTCCCCTTATCAGTAGACCAACGTGGTCACTAGCAAGACCATATGCCTGCTTGTGTATTCCCCTTGAGTCTCAGTCTTGGAAGGGAGTTTGCCCTGATGGCTCCAGTACCATCATTCTTAATCATGTGCTACTTTTTGAAATGATTAAACACTGACAATTTATTTTTAGTTCAGTGACTCTGTATTCCCTCCATCATCTTTTGATGCTCTCTGCATTATTCAATATTTTGCCCATTGTTGTTGTTGTTGTTAGGTGCCATCAAGTCGATATCGAATCATAGTGACCCTATGCACAAAAGAATGAAACACTGCCTAGTCCTGGGACAGCCTCACAATTGTTGCCATGCTTGAGCCCATTGATGCTGCCACTTTGCCAATCCATCTTTCTGGGTGTCTTCCTCTTCTTCTCTGACCTTCTACCTTACCAGACATGATATCCTTCTCCAGTGACTGGTCCCTCCTGACAATATGTCCAAAGTATGAGAGACGAAGTTTGGCCATCCTGGCTTCCGAGGAGCACTCTGGCTGCACTTTTTCCAACATGGATCTGTTGGTTCTTTTGGCAGCCCATGGCACGTTCAATATTCTCTTCCAACACCATAACTCAAAAGCATCATTTCTTATATAGTCTTCCTAGTCATTGTCCAGCTTTTGCATACATATGAGGTTATTGAAAATACTATGGCTTGGGTCAGGCGCACATAAATCCTGAAGCTGACACCTTTGTTTGCTCTTCAACACTTGAAAAAAAGTCTTGTGCAGCAGATTTACCTAATGCAATATGTCGTTTGATTTCTTGACTGCTGCTTCTGTGAGTGTTGATAGTTGATCCAAGAAGAATGAAGTCTTTGACAACTTCAATCTTTTCT